TCATGGGACGCTCATGTGTGCCCTGGAGGAGCCAGAGGTGCATGTCTTATGTTGAGAGGTCACTACCTTCTTGTTTTGCTTCTTTATTTCGGATAGGTGAAACAGAAAAAAATGTTTCAAAAATAACAACAAATAATTGATGCAAACTTGCAGTACAACCCTCTGGTTGCAGCTGGAGCCCAGCTGGGAGGAAAAAGACTTCTAAGGCAGAGAAAAGGGAGGCTCTGATTATTTATTAGTGGCCGATGTTTGATTGCTTGCTAATCAGTCCAGAGAACACTCAGGCTCTCCTGGCCTTCCCGCTCACATGTGGTTCCTGTTGCTTTGCCCCTTTCCCCCTCCCTCTCCCTGGTTTTGCTTTGTTTGTTTTTCTGTTAATTTGGTTGTTTTTTCCATGTCATTTTCCGTCAAACCGCATGTTTTTTCCTCTTTCTCTCGCCAGCCACTGCAGTGACAGACATGGAGGAAGCAGGCCAGCCTGGGACTGCCTGTACTCTGCCAGTCCCTTTCCCACATCCATGGCCTGGGAGGCAGCAATGCCCATGGGACAGCGCTGGGGCTGGCACCAGGCCACAAGACCCCAAGCCACCACTGCAACGTGGAAGACAACTCCACTGCCTGCATCCCAATCCGTGCCCCTGCTGCTGGAGGGGATTCTGCTGTATTTCCTCCCCCATGCTTTCACTCCATCCTGTCAGGCAGCAGCCTTTTTGGGCAGCAGGCCGAATGATGAGGGTCAGATGCATGTCCACCAGGGCCTGGACATCCCCAAAGCAGGACAGAAGGGCAGAGGGGAGGAGGTGCTGGGTTGGGATGGAGATAAGCAGGTCAGAAGAGGATGGAGGGATGGGAGCAGAAGGAGGGTGCCTGCCCTCGCTGCCTCCCTCCCTTCTCTGCACACAAGGCCTCCCCGCTCTCATGTGCACTCTCCGGCTTCTGGCAGCCTCTCCGACGCGCGTTTCCACTCCTCTCTGGCCCATTAGCAGTATTTTTATAACATTCTGTAACGCACAGCGCCGTGTGCCAAACCTCAAGAGTGCATTATTTCCCAACGTCTTTGTTATATCCACCCCCAGGCCCTCCGGCTGCGCGTTTCCAAATCCAGAGTTGTGGCTTGTGGGGGCAGCCAGGAGCCCGGCACCGCACTCCTGTTACCCAGAGCTTTGTGCTCCCTCCTGCCCTGCTCCTGGTGCTCAGCCCTGCGCTCAGGACAGGGATGCCTGGCGTGTAAAAAGACCTGGACCCATCTCCTGCTTCTGGTGGGCATCTGCTGCTGTCAGGCTGCAGGGCAGGTGATCACTGAAGATAAGCACCTGGTTGTTCTCCTGTGCTTCACCTCATGCTCAGCTGCCTGAAGAAAGGGGCAGACCAACAAGTCACTGCTCAAAGTGCCCTGGAAGAGGTTTCCCCTGCAGAAATGCCAGCTTCCCTCAGGCCAATTTGTGCTGAGGAGGATGCATGCCTTGTAGAGGGCTGACCTGGGACCTTCAGCAATAGACAAGCCTGGGGATCCCTCCTCACCATCCCTGAATGCACACTGTCCCGCTACATGCGCACCAGTGCTCCCATTTCTGCAGTGAGTGAGACAGCCCAGCTACTCCCAGCCTCTGCAGGGTGCTGCTGGGCTCCCAGCCACATCCCCCATGATGTGCACTTGGGTGTCAAACCCATCTAAGGCATCAGATGAGCTATCTGTGCCTTCCCTCCTCCCTGCTGAAGCATATTGATAAAACACCTCCCCACATTTGTGCCTGCACCATTAATGTAGCATGTTGGTCCTTTCAGCACAAAATCCCCACCTCAGATATCTTCTTGTCCCTCCTTAGCCACTGGCATTTCCAACCAAAGCCCCTGGTCCTTGTGGGCCAGAGCCATTACAGATAACACCACAGAGAGTGGCCCAAACACAGTCCAACCACGGTGCCAAAGTTTCCCCATCCCTTCCAGGAGCTCCCCCTTTCAGCACAATCTGATCCCCTGTAGCTATTTCCTAAGCTGTGTTCCAATTCTCGTACTAATCCACATTTTCTCTGGTTTAACTCATAATTTCCCATGTGGCACCATAGCAAATACTTCACTGAAGTCAAGACAGATTACACTGACCACATTTCTGGGCTTAGAAAACCGGTTCCCTTATCAAAGAGAGCTATCAGGTTAATCTGCTGTGATATATCCCTGGCAGGCCCTCCTTGTGTTTTTTTCCCATTTTCCATTTCTCTCCACGTCTTTAATTGCTCCCTCTTCCAAGTGCATCGTGTGGCCCCCACTGTGCTGTGGGGTCAGGCTCTCTGACGAGGAGACACGTTGCACTGGGTACCACCACTGGCCTCTCAGCTGCTAATGAGCCTTGCTAATGAACAGGTGTCCTCACATGGGGATGAGGTGCTCCCCAAGCCCTCAATGCACTGAAGGTGCCTCCAGAACAGAGGGTAACCTCCAGGTTTTATGCTCCCTCCTCTCCCTTAGCCTGTGCTGCCCTGGCTCTCAGCATCGCTGCTCAGACCTGGTGGGGTTCATTTGGTATCGGGCTCTGCCGAGCTTATGTTTAATCTCCCCTGAAACCTGTCTGCAGGACCAACTCTGCTCTTTTCTCCTCGTTTGCTCCGTATTTATATGGATAAACCTCCTTTTCATTTCCTCTGCAAGGTCTCGCTCAGCTTGACTCCTGGCAGGTCTCCCTTTATCCCTGTGCTCGCTGATCCCCACGACAGAGCTTGCTTGGCTAATTGACACCCTTTCCTGGTCCTCAACCCTCCTCTGCTCCCTCTACACATCCTTCCTGTGGTGTTGTATGCTCAGGATCACCCCTGCCTTGCCTGGGGAGCACATTCCAGGTACCATCATTTATTTAATGAGATCCCCAGCACTTCTCCACGTGCAGCCCCAGCCTCTCACTCTCGCTGCAATCAGCTTTCTTGTTGCCCCAGCAAATGAGAAAAATGCAGGCACAGGCCTGTTTTCATTTAATTTCCCATGCAATTGAAATGAAATGAGTCCAAGATCCCTCAAATCCCAGGTCTGGGCTCCCAGTGCATTCAGCTGCAGCAGCAATGCTACCACAGAGCCATGCTGCAAACCTCCCACAAGTCACCCATCTCCACCTCCATCCCCAAGCCCACCTCCATTCCCTGCCGGGATGCTCCCAAATCCACTCCTTTGCATGAATCCTCACACCTCCAGGGAATCAATCATTTCCAGCAGAGCCAGGACACTTAGGGTGGGGTGAGGGGGGCAGGGGCTGGGGGTGCAGCGCTGGGAAGAGAAACCTCACAGAGAGCGTTAAATTAAAATCCAGACAGTTAAATTAATTACCACTAAAAGCGTCTCACCTGATTAGTTCCTTGCACAGTTAATTGTGTTAACAATGCCAGACACTTGTTTATTTATTTGTCACCCTCTCTCTGGAGGCTGGTGGCCCCAGCAGCGTCCAACTGGGCTTCTCAGCTGCCCCAGTGCTCAGGGGTCTGTGACTCTCCAGCAAATGGGAACACACAGTAATAGGGAACAGCAGGATTTGGGCTCTAACGCTGAGCAATTCCCACGGGTCCCTGAGCGGATTGACAGAGATTACTATTAGTGAGGTGCTTAGCAGATGGAGGAGCCATTGCAAAATCACAGCGATGCCACAGCTGCACAGAGGAGGTGGTTGAAGGCCGCGGAAGTCTCCCCACTCCCCTTGTTTCCTGCAGGCCTGGGCTGCAGCCCTCTGTGCACTGGCACAGCCTGGGAACTCTCCCCAGATGGGATCTGGTGAGCACATGCCCAAGCAGAGGAATTGCACAACCTCCTTGTGCTGCTGCCTGCACTGGGCCCAGCTCCTGCCTTTTCTGGCTCTGACCCAGCTGTGAACACCTCCTGAGCACAGTGCAGATAAAAAGCCCCTGACTCATTTGTTGGGCAGTGGCCTTTTTGTCTGCCATGCTCCCAGCCCCCACTCCTGCTCACTGGTGTAAACCCTGCCCTGTGCTGACTGCTTCCCCTCATCTGCTCCTCACATCGCCTTCCAGCTCCTTCCAGCATCCCTTCTCCTCAGCCCAGACACCAGGATTCATCCCACACATCCTTAAATGAATTGTACACTGCAGAGCATCTCTAAAATTCAAATCTCTAGGTGCAGTGAACCTCATGCTTTATCTCCAGGGCTTACACAGACCCTCCTGTGACCCTCTGTCCCTGGAGCATGGCCTAGGATGGAAACACCACCCTGGCTCTGATGCCAGTGCAGAAGGTGAGATAAGGAGTAGAGGAAGACTCTGCTGTGTCTTCCAAACCTGGGAACATACAGCCACCTACACGACACATCCCTGGATGGCGGGGTTCCCAGCTGGGAATCACAGTTACCATCCCACAGCCAGCCATGCCGGCTGGTGCTCCCAGACACCCACGGCTGCCAGTTGCACATGCTGTGCTGCAAAACACACAGTTGCTATCAGCTGTACAAACACAGCAGCCCTTAAAACACACAGCTGCTATCAGCTCTCAGCATCATGTGAAATACAGCACAACTCTTATCTCCCCTGCTGAGGCCCGGGAATCAGCGCATCCCGTGCCGGAGATATGCAAAATGCTGGGGAATGAGCAGCTGTCCTTCAGCACACCTGTGCACCCAGGATCCTGCAACACCTTTGTGCTGCTCCTCTGAAACAACCACACTGCTGTAATCCTGGCCAGGGCTTCCCCTGGCTGACTGCAATCCTGTCCAATAGCTCTTTCCACCAACAGAGATGGCTGATGTGTCACAGGACTAGAGGAAGAAGCTACATCCCTTCTCAAATTATTCCTGAGGCATCATTTAACCTGCTAGCTTTGATCCAAAGCTTGGGGCAGAGTGGCTGATTCCAAATGGGATTAGTATGACATGAGGACCTCATACAGCAGTGTGCAGCAGACAACCCCATGTATGGAAGGTAGAGGGGCTGACATGGTAGGAGAGGGGGCTGTGGAGACTCTGTATGGGAGCAGAGACTGTCCCCCTCAATGTGGCATGCTGGGGTACTCACTTCCCACCCTCAGGTTGGTCTGGTATTTGAGGTGCCAGGAGGAGCCCTCGTAGCAGGAGTACTGGCCGCTCTGGGACAGGTCCACGTTCTTGAGGACCAGGTAGGAGCCGTTCAGGTGGGACTCGTCGATGTCGGTGCCGTTGGCTGTCCAGGTCACGGCTGCGTCCCATTCCATGGAGCCACACTTCATGGTCACGTCTGCACCTACCCGCTCGTACTGGGTGTGGCTCTCTGTGGGAAGGAAAAGGGGAAAAACAGGTGAGCTCAGAGCCCCTCAGAACAGTTGCCTTGGGGATAAGATCTTACCTTCTTGTCTGGGAGGTAAAGAGAAGGACTGGGGTGTGGACTGACACTTTGCTGGTGGACAGGGAAGCCCAAGTTCTGCTCCTGTCCCCAGCCATGATTTATTTTAGACCAGCTGACAAATACCAGAGGATCAGGAACCACCTCCGCCCACAGGATGGCTTCCTCTCACCTTTGCTATGTGAACACATGTCAGGGCTGCACGTATGGCTCACCAGCCAAACACCCCCCAGCATGGCCAGACACACAAGGCATTGCCAGTCGTGTGTCCAGGTGACTTGTTGCAGGACACAAACCAAACACATGTGTCAGAAACTCCCAGCAGAGAGATCACACAGCCTCAGGACTTGTCACCAGCAAAATCCATGTATTTACTAGTGCAGATGGGAAGCAGGTAATTCTCCTTGCAATTCTCTATCCAGTAAACCAGGCAGGACGATTGCAAACTAACTGTGCTATGCTGTGGAAAGGCACAGCTGCTTGGTGCATGCAGTGCTGTTTGTCTCCTGTCTGGGTTTTCTTCTCTTTCCATAATAACATGATGCTTGCTGAGCTGTTTGATGTAACAGAGTGGGGCAACACAGCTCATTGGGCACCAGCTGCCTAATTGAATTTTCTCAGGTTTCTGGACAGGAGCTGGAGCTGACATTCATTAATGATCCTTAGCAACTGAATATTTCCTGTGTTGCTACACTTGGCTGTGCTGAGCTCTATGTGGCAAGGATAAAACCACGTGAGTGCATGTGCGTGACACAGGGTGAAGCAGGATGGGAGGATGAATAGGGATGAGGTTCCTTCAAGGCTTCATCAAGCCTTTGTGCACAGACAAGGGGGGTTCACTTCTCAAAATTCTCCTGGGCTTCAAAATCACATTTGACAAGGTGCCTTCCAAGGAAACTAAGCAGCCCTGACACATGGGGAAAGTCCTTGTGAGGATTTATAGCAGCTAAAGTCACAAGACCAAAGGTGAAAACAAGCTGTCAAATGTAGCAGTAGAAGATGTCACTGCTGAAGTCTGATGGAGATCCGAGCTGGATCAGATCTGCCCAGCACCCTCGTAACTCACAGGTAGAAGGGGTCAGGGCAGAGAGAAGACAGAGTGCTGCTGGGGCTATCAGGGCAGCCAAAGCCCAGCTGGGCTCCAAAGTGCTGCAGGAGGACACCGTGGTACAGACCACCAGGCAGTAACCCTGTGCTGATTAACGCACAGTGGAATGCATGCAGCCTTCCTTCCCTACACACTCATGGTTTCAAATATGCCACAGCCTCCACGGGAACCCACCCTGGAGTCATCACACTCCCCTCCCTGAGAACATCAGCTCGGTGGTGAACAAGAACTCAAACCCAAAATGGAAAGCACTGTTACTCAAAAGCCATGAACAAACCTGTCCCCATGCTGTTATGAGCACAGCATCCCTGGAAGCAAGGCAAAGGAAGGAAACAAGAACAGCTAAGCTTGAAACAGATTCCATGTGAAGTTGGTTTAGTAGACTCTAACCCTTCATCCATAAAAGGGAACAACCAAGCAAAGATGTGACAGACACCTTAGCAATGACAAGTGACATGAAGAGGACAAATAGAGAAGGGCTGCTTGCTCTTTCTCCTAATAAAATAAGGGGGAGCAAGACAAGCAATAGAAAGTGGTCTTTTTCTTTTGCACGAATTGTGATTAAATTACAGAAATCTATATCCATCAGATGTTGTTGATGTCAACATTGGAGGGGGGAACAGTGTGTAAATGAATTCACAGCAAAAGATGACCTAAAACACCGAGCTGCCCAGTGAGCCTTGGGAGATTGCAAGCAGCTGATAGTGGAGACAGATGGGATAAGCACCTCCAAGGCTTCTCCTTTTTTTCCTCCCTCTCCAGACATCAGCTCCTGGGTCCCACTGGTAGGTGGGACCACATGGATAAGATCCAGCATTCCTTGTGCCTAAGGCCACATCCTGATCCCATCTGCAAGGCTGGCTCTGGAGGAATGTCTGGCAGGTCTCAGCCATCCTGCAGATGGTCTGTCAGGACACCTGCTTCTGACAGGAATAGAGCACCTTTGGGGATGTTATCCCTAGAGGAAACATCAAAAGGGAAAGGGGGTGCTAAGGACAAGGAAAAAATGGTTTGTTGTAAGTTGCTGGTGGGATGCCCCAGTACAATTTCTGACACAAGCCAAGGATGGAAAACCTTTGGGAAACTGTGCTGACCAGAAAAATGTGTTTCAAGGGTCCTAAAAAGCTGGGAGAATGTACTGACAGGCAGAAAGAGTGGAGAACAACTAAGATGAAGCATCTGTGTGAGGAGGGATAGCTGGAACAGGACCAGATACATAGACAGATAGGCAGAAGTGGAAAAAGACAGTGGATGGATGAATGTGTGTAACCACAGACAGATGAACAGCAGGCTGGATGGGCACAAATGGAATGGAGGAAAGGATGCATGGAAGGACAGTGAGTGTGAGTGGTGTTGGGTGGATGGCTGGCTACTTAAATGGCTCTGGATGTGGATGGATGGTTGGATGATGAATGGATGGACAGGCAGATGATTAGGCACATGTGTGGATAGACAAACACAGATACCAGAGTTTCAGTAAGAATTCAAGCACCTTACTCAAGTTCTCTAATTTCTTCGATTGATAAGGTAAAGAGGTTTTGTCTTCCCATTTCCTGTTGGCTCACAGGACAATTGACCATCCTGTCCTTACACTTGGAATTCTGCTTATCAGAGACACTGGAGCTCTGACACCCACCACTGCACCACCCACCAGCCTTGCACAGAGAAAGGCTCAGTGCAGTGATGGATCCACAGACCTGCCACCCTTGCCTGGCTCCTGCCTGCCTGGTGCTTATTTCCAGAGAAGGACTGAGATCGGGGGAAGCTCTGGGATGCACAGCTCTGCCTCTCAGGACTGTGGCTGAAGGACTAAATTGGGAAGGAAAAAAGTCACCTTGAGTTATTTCCTTAAACACAGTACAAACACACTGGCATTCGTCCAGAAGGGCTGAGGGAGCCATTCCTGGAAGACAGGTCTTTGAAGGCAATGCTCCTTTCCAAGGCAATGATTTAAGGTTCCTGATGAAGGAGAAACCCAAAGCACAGCTTCAGAGGAGGCATTTCATCCAGCAGGGTTTGCTGAGGATCTTACTGGAGCAGACACAAGTCCTCATGTCCTCCCTTGTCCCACGCCAGGTGTGGGAGTTGGGTGGGACAGTGACATCAGATGTGCGGCAGCCTCTTTGGGAAAGGGCACCATGGGGACAGCTCCCCTGGAATGCTGGAGAAGCCTGCAGCTCTGCTGTAGGATGGGGATGAGCAGGGGTGACCAGAGCTCTGCTGGGATCCTGAACTTTCTGCAGGCTAGGAGAGAACCCAGAGCTCCACAGCTCCCTTGAACAGGGAGGGAAGGGAGGTTTGTCCACACTCCTGGTCACCGTGTCACTCACTGGTAACCCATGGGGTCAATGACCACAATGGTGCCTGTCCTGCAGGGCCAGCCCTTTTGGATGGACATCAGCTGGTGACAGGAGTGTCCTGGTGGAAGATTCCAGCTGGACATGGAGGATAATTTATTCTCCTGGAGGGTAACACAGCACTGGGAAAGGTACCCACAGAGAGGGGGATTCTCATCCATGGAGTTTGTCAAGGCTCTGCTGACAAAGCCACAGCTGACCTGGTCTTCTGCTGAGGACAGAGCTTTTCCAAGTGGGGCTCTGGACTAGACACTTCCAAAGATTCCTTCCCAGTAACAAGGACGTGATCACTGGCTAGAACTGACACTTCAAGATGCTGCCCTACCATGTGCCTGCACCACCCTGCTTCTCCAAAGCATGCTGCCTTTGGGTCAAATGACATCACCATAGAAGGGCTGCACACCAACCACCAACATGCCTCAGCATCCAATGCCACCAAAGGCCACATCCTCTGCCAGGCACAGCACACCTGCCAGGCACAGCATGAAGTCCCACATCTAGAAAGGCGCCATGGTGATGCACAATGGGAGAAATCACAGCTTTACCCACATCTCTGCAAAATTGCAGTGGAGGGAAGATGGGAATAAACATCAGAGCTTCTAGCTGTGGGATAAACATACACATTCTAGTAATGAACCTGGGGCAGCTTGGTGAAATGAGCTGTGAGCTGCTTTGCTGCACTAGCAACGATGAGTGGCAGCTTGATAGGTCCTGCAACTGCAACAGGGACCAACAGGACAGCAGACAGCAATCCAGCAGAGAGATGTGGAGGGAAAATGAGACCAAGCAGCCGAGACATGGGGCCCATGGAAATATATTCTATGCTTCCCAAACCCATCCAGCTGGAAATCCAATAGAAACCTCATCCCCATTTTCCTCCTTCATGAAATCTTGATCTACATAGAAACTGGAAGGGCAACAGCACAAGGAAATCCTGCAAAAAGGTGAGCACTGCCCTGGCATGCACTGTGCTAGGAACAAGCAGAACTCCTCTTGGCACCTTCCATCTCCACTCCTGTGCCTTTGCTCCAGCTAAGGCTCCCACCCAGCCAGCATGGGCAGCTGCCAGGCATGGCAGGAATGCTGCAGGGCACTGGCATGTGTGGAGCCACAGACTGGCACTGGGGGCCTGTGCCCAGACGCCTGAGGGGTCACTGGAACAGCAAGGAGAGGAAGTGGAGAGGACAGTTAGCATTCCTGGCACCAGAGCTCACCACAGCCCTTTAATGGGGGTCTTTCAGCCAGGGCCTGTGGCAAGACAACATCCAGCAGGCACACACAGGGCCAAAACCACCCTCCCTGTCACAGCGATTTGCAGGCAGACTGGGACAAATATTCCCTCTGAGTGCTGTGCTGAAATGCACTGCAGGCTTGTGGCTTGAGTGAGCACAGAATGAGCAGAAGAAAGGCATTGCAGCATTCTGGGGAGAGGGAAGAGCACCCTGCAGGTTCCACAGCCTGCC